TACAAAGACATCAAGTCCCCCACTCTGTGTCTCCACTTTGTCTTCTTGCAGCCCCAGCTCTAGCCTTGTGTTGTGTTTGAGAGCAGAAAAGCTCACTCTGCAAGCGAGCATTCAAATCTCCCTTTCGTGACCAGGATTTCTTGGTTGAGTCTTTATTTCTGTTTTACTCTGAGTTGGAGAGAGACATAGGAAATACGTAAACAATGCACAGCTTATGACTTGAGGGTGTAGTTCAGTGGTAGAGCACTTGCCTAGCACGCACGAGAACCCCGGCTCCATCCCCAGCACTGGGGGAAAAGTGCTTAACCTCAAATAAGAAAGCCACAGGACTGTAAAGCAAATCATAAAATTGTATTAACATAAAATAAGATTGGGCCCGGGGATATAGCTCAACTGCACAAGTGCCTGCCTGACAAGCATGAAATCCTGAATTTAATTCTTGGTACCACCCCTAAAAAAAGATTTGAACAAATGAAAGGACTTACAGTGTTCTTTTTATGGGGGCTGTAAATACCATAAAATGTCATATATATATATATATATATGACCTCTGCTCTTCCTATGACAAAGAGCCCCAGTGACTGCACACTCTGGCTTTATTCACTCAGAAACAGGCACAAACAGTACGAGTAACACAGGACTCATCTGTCTCCTCCCAGCCAGGGTACATCTCCAGGTAAACAACAGGATCACAGCTGCATGCGTTTTCCGTGCCATGTTAGTGTGCACTCACGCCACCTTCTTCCCTAGTGCTCATGGAAGATGTCAGTTACGCTGGAAGAGGTCAGTTAATCTTTCTATCTGACCTCCCAGATATATATGTAATACAGTTACAATCAGGATTCAAATAGGGATTTTAAAAGTTATAATTAAATGAATATCCATATAGAAGAATAAATGCCCCAAAATAGCCAAAAAAAGATGAAAAGAAAAAAAGAATTACTCAGAAGATGTGGTGGTGCATGCCTGCAATCCTAGCACTTGGGAGGCTGAGGCAGGAACATCATTACAAGTTGGAGGCCAGCCTGGGCTCCAAAGTGAGCTTAGAGCCAGCCTGAACTGTGTAGTGAGACTGTGTCTCAAAAAGACCAAAAAAAAAAAAAAAAAAGAAAAAGAAAAAAATTGAAAGGAAGAACAAAATGACTGTTAATGTCTTTCCAACTCAGATCATAAAATATGTACCATCATTCTGTATCATTATTTTATGAAACATAAAAATATTTCATAATTTAGAACCAAAAGTTAAGACTGCATTTGAGTTAGAACTATGTTAAACTTCACAGTACAAAAACCCTAAGAAAGAGTTAAATAAAGCCACTGTATTTCTTTTACACTTAAATCCGAAGGAACCAGGCTCCTTCTGCTCAGCACCATTAGCTTCTGCTGTGGAGTCTCAATACCACCTTACCATACTGCCCATCACTCTCAGTCCAGGAGGCAGAAAGGATGAAGAAGGAACCTTTACTGAAATCCCACACAAGGCTTTCGCCCACGTCTCTGTGGATAGCATTTACCACACGGCTCAATACGTGTGGGTGGGGGATGCTGTTACAAGGGCTATTACAAGGTATTTCTTCTCCTGATGCCAAGGTGTGTTTAATGGGATCCTCTTAGGTGTCTCAGGAAAAAAAATAAAAGGCTTTAGGTCACAGAGGGGTACCAAAGAAGCTGACCAACTTTCTTTCCTGAAGGCCCTCTCAAGAAGTCAAACAGCATACCTGGAAGGGACAGAAGGAGGCTTTCATAGTACTGCATCCTTCACAGAGGGCAAGTTAGTTCTCTTGGAAATAAAAAAAATAAAATCAAGGGCCAGCCGAATAGCTCAGCAGATTAAAGCACCTGCAAGCAGGTGTAGGGGCTGGGGGTTTGATCCCCGGGTCTGCCATGCTGGCCCCACTCCCGAGGCGTGCTGAGATGGCAATTGAGACTAAGACTGGTGGTGCATGTCTGTAATCCCAGCACTTGGGAGGCTGCAAACAGGAGGATCACTATGAGTCCAATCTAGTTTGAGACCCTGAATACCCTGTAGACTCTTCTCTAAAAATACAAAAATAAATAAATAAATAATAAATCAGAAAGGTTGGTGGCAAAATAGTGATTTTCTTCTCCTGACCCTGAAAGACTCACTCCCCTCTTCAGGACCAAGGAAGCCAGCCACAGGTGTGCTTTGCCTGCACTAGAGATAGTTATAAACTTCATCAATTGTTTGCTACGATTTTTAAAAGTCACACATCAGATGGAAGCCCTGTTTTTGGCATTTTTTGGACAAGCTGAAAGAGCATCGCGTCCAGGCCCTACTTCCCTGATCAGAGATGGGCCGGAATAAGTCTTTGGCAGCTGCCTCTCCAGCATGTGGTCCCCGCCTTGTCCCACACACACTCGGGTGCCTGCCTGGCACCTGCCCAAGCTTGACTTTGCAAACCCTGCTGTAGGAGTTAAATTCTTTGTGAAAGTTTGGTACCAGCCCCTCTTTTGTGTCCCAGACAGTTTCAGTGAAGATCTTTTCTACTATATGTTACATATTTCTTATCTAAAATATAAGGCTAGAAGTATTTAAGATTTGAAGTTGTTTTCAGATTTTGGTGTATCTGAATATTCGTAATGTGATATCTTGGAAACAGAATCCCAAGTGTATACAGAAAGTTCATTTATATATACATTGTACACACAGCCCGAAGCTAGTTTTAGACAACCTTTTCACTGCGCTGTGTTTTCACTGAGACTCATCACATCAGATTATGAGTGGAACTTTCTATTTGTGGCACCAGGTCAGTGCTCAAAAACTTTTGGATTTTTAAATGTTTTGGATTTCAAAATTTTCAATTTGTAGTGCATGTCTCCCAAATCCTATCATAACTTTCTGTATTAAATGTAGAAAAGAAGTTCAGCTCATAAAAGGGCTTAGCATCAATGAGACTGAGACTGTTACTGGTCTATTCCACTCCTCATGGTGGGGACCGAGACCAGGCCACCCCTTGAGGTCCTTCCTCTTCTCCAGACCGACACCTTCTGTCTGATCATGTGTGTGAGGTGTGAGGCTCCTGGAGCCTGAGGGTGTTTGTACGTGTGACTATGCCCGCTGCCGAAGAAGAGCTCGGGGGCTGTGAATTTCCTTCCCTTGGCCGGTTCAGTACTGTGCTGCACTAAATACCAAGATGCCTGAGCCCCGGAAGAGGTTGGCTCCTTGTAGGAGCAAAGAGCCCATAGCATGGCACTCAGTCTGCAAAGCATTGGGGCATCTTATGGAAAAATCTCATTTTCAAAATGCTCTGCTATGGGGCTGGTGAGATGGCTCAGTGGTCTAAAGCACCTACTTAGAACAAGCTTAGCAAAGCACAGCGACCGCGGTTCAATCCCCAGCACCACATGCCAGCCAGCCCCGCCCCCTGGTGGGCTGAGCTGGCCACACACATAAATAAATAAATAAATAAATAAATAAATATAAAAAAATACAGTCAGTGTTTAAGCCAATGTTACAGTCACTGTTAAGTAAATTTAATAAAGTAAAAGATATTTCTTAAAAAATGCTCGGCTATGGTACTTCCCAGGTGAAAACGATAAGAGTGTATGTTTGGGAGATTCCGCGATCAAATTCACCTGCTCTGTGTCTGAAGAAGCTGAAGAATCAACTGACATTTGCTGTCTTTCTTTGGGCTTTTAAAATCAATTGTCGGGGCCGGGGAAATGGCTCGGTAGAATAAGCGCTTGCCTGGCAAGCACAAGGGCCTGAGTTCATAAACCTCATTTCCAAAAAAAAAAAAAAAAAAAAAGTTAGTGTAAAATCAATTGTCATCAACGTCTATATATACAAATGCATCATTCAGAATGATGTTGTGGAGCTCAAATGACGAGATCTCTATCTAAATTCTTCTGTCTGCAGGCTAAATTCATATATGAATGAATTTCTGAAGCTTTACTTAAACATACTTTTTCAGCTGTTTAGCTTTGGGTTTCCACTCCATCAGCCTCCCACAAATCAGCTCTTTGCGGGAGTCGGGGGTTTCTGGAGGCATTCTGTTGCTGTTTTCTCATGCTTCTATTTTTCTTTTAAACGTGCAAGGTTAAGGGTCAATGATAGTGGGGAGACTTCGTTGCCGGTGCGGAGCTCCCTTTAGTTAGTCTCCTGTTCAGTGATGAACTCTTGGCACAGCTAGTGCACACTTCACCTCTGTGGCAGGCTCCAGCCTTTTCCACTAATCTGGGGAGGGGCGGAGGCAGCGTAATCGACCCAGCGCCCAATTCTGCAGAAAGCACTGCGGCACTGTTGATAACGCAAAGACCACTCATACTTCTATAGAGGTCTAGCCGAACCAAAATGTTTGTAATAATATTCTTAGTTTGAGAGTTAAATGAGATCCAGAGAAACTAGGACAAATTTTCAATATATTATTCATTTGCTTCTTTGTATCTTAACCCAAAAAAATATACTCACTTCATTTAAAAAATGTGTTTGTTTGTTTATTGTGATGCTTGGGATTTAAGGCAGGGCCTCCCCACTGAAATAGCTCCCCACCTTTATGTAGTTTTCATTTTGAAGCAGGGAACCCACTGAATTGCTGTTACGAAGTCTGGCCCATACTTGCCTCCTGGAGTACAGGGATTATGGGATTGCACCACCTTGCCCAGGTACCCTCCCCTTAATGGTTAGAACTGGTTTTGGGCTGGGGACACAGCGTGGTCCTGTGTCTGTTAGAACATACTTTGGCCTTCCTTGGAATGATAAAGGGGACAGGAAACTAAACTCCCATGCACTCTGCTGGTGAGTTGTTGGCATTTGGCCTGGAAGAAAAATGGATCGACTTCAGTTTTGAGAAGTTCTCCAGGATTTTCACAGTCAGACAGGGAAGACTTAATCTTTAAGAGCTCATCCAGAAGTCATGCATCCCTGCAGCTGTGTAGTCACTGCCGATGGCATTTATTACAGTAGCATTTGAGATTTCTAGGGGCTCTGTCTTTGGAAGCACTCATGATCCTCCCGTTCCTCTTTCTCCCCCCTCTAGTACAACAAGGCTTACAAGAGCCTCAAGGAACTTTCTCAAAATGGAGAGAATTTCTGCAAGCAGATCACCTCTATTCTTCAGCAAAGGTACAAAACGCACGTTTGCAACAGACGGTCCTTGCTCTGCAGCTGTAGCCAGCAATGTGACATGACTGGAGAGGTGATCGCAGGCAGGCCTGCTTTCCAGAACATGTTATGCTCTGCTACTTGAAGGACTAGTTTGATGAATGATTCTCCATTGCACATTTATCCACCATAAAAATTAAGGAAGAACAGGAAGGAATTCTGCTTGGGGAGGTTCAGTCAAGTCTCTTCTGATTCTTCAAGCTGAGTTTAGCACATCTCCTGGGGCTCCCTGTCATGTCTGATGTATGCACTCATTACTGTACTTTTCACGTTATTGGTTTACATTTTTGCTTCCCCTGCCAGGGCAAAGGCTGTGTCTTCATTATTACTATAATGACAAAGCTCTTGGAGCCTAGTCTTTTGATTTCTTTGGTAAATGTCTGATGAATGGATAACTGGATGAACAACGAAAAATCACCATTTCCCACACAGTCTTCTCTTAATGCTAGATGTGAGCACTATT